GGAGAGGAGGCTGTCAAGGTTTGCCTTGTATATGCTATTGCTGGTGTAGTTGCCACTGCCTGAACGGTGTAGTTGCCACTGCCTGAACATACTTGATTTAAGAAATCCGGCTGAGAAATGATGACAACAAGAAGGCTTGTGAGGATGTGAGAAATGAAGAAAAGCTGCCTCCAAGAAGGTGGTATTATTAACATTGTGTGTCTCATTCTGTCTAATTTGTGGTGAGACTTATTATATATATGAATGTGATACAGGTATTCAATAACAAAAATGGTCTGCTGAAAAAAAAAATGATTAATGGGGGTTTTGAATAGAAATTTGTGGTTGCTTCTTGTGATACTTAAATCCTTCGAAAATTAGGAGTATTACACTTCATGCTCTTTTGTCAAATTACATGAGGTCATGAACTTGAAAAGTCTACACCCACAAATCCTTAGACAAAATGTTGCAATTAAATGATCGGAGTTGGTCAATTTGCGGCATATTAAACTGAGATATTCAGAATTGATCAACTTCATTAGAACATTAAAATATCATGGTAGGTCGAAATTAGTGGTGAAATTATGGACCTAAGAGGAAGATATATAGAAGGAAAAAAAAAAGTCATTAATTATATGAATATGCTATAGTAATGATTTAAATTTATTATATTATATTATCATAAACATAAAATAATTGAATCCATGTGTGGAAATTTTTTGACTCCCAATGTCATGCGTACAAGGGTTGATTATAAAATGTGAAAATTGCATTCTCTAATTTATCCAAGTTCTCATACGTGGTGTTTGTAAAAGCATTTGATTGACTATGTGTTTTCGACAACGAATCTACTATTTGGCTAATTCAAAGGTTTACACAAATAAGTTTTGATTAACAATCCATTTGGATGTAAATTTTTTTTTTTTAAATAATATATTTATGAAAAAAAAAAAACAAAAATAACTTATTTATCAATTTTAGATAAGTAATTTTACACGTTTCACCCGATTGATTTGACTTCAATCTCATTTTAGATCTTTGCCGAACACTAAAAAATAAAAATATTTTACCCTTATTTAATAAGTGAAAAATAACTCTCCAAAAAATAATTAATAGGGTAAAATGCAAAAAACTCCTTTGAACTATTGCCAAACAAACTTGTCTCTATGTGATGAATCAAGATCTATGTATGAAAATTCCTTAAAAAGTTTTTAAAACTTGCATGTTTCTCAATAGTAGTATCAGAGCATGATTTGATTCTTTACTAGAGATTATGTTTTTTTATGAAAATTATCACTCATAGATCCAAATTATATTTGCATATGTATATATATATATATATATATATTTTGATGTATGATTTAATATGTTGATATATATTGATACATGATGATGATGTATGTATAATTGTGAATGGATGATGATGTATTTTTGGGACATGGATGAAGCTTATAGGTTTAATATAATTTTATCTTTGGATGAATATAATTAAGGCTTTGATTTTGCCATTAGAAAGTTTAATGATATAATTTAATTATTTTTTATTGTATTTCATATGTATAATTAATTTTAAAGCCATGTAATCTTCATCAATGTGTACTATGAAGCTTCAAGAAGGTCCAAGAGAATTAAATAAGAATTCCGGTGGCCGGAGTATCGCCGACGGTGAGGGTAGCGCCGGAGGAAGGCTACTAGATCCGGTTCGGCGCAATACACTATATTACCGTGCGCTCGGATCAAGGACCATTGGATCAGCCCTCAACTGAAGGGAATAATCCCATGCGGCGCAACACGGTGCACCAAAGGGACAGGCGTGGGAACATGCGCTGGACTTTATTGATTTGCCTTCCAGGTGCGTGGAAGCGCGTGCCTACGTGTGCCACGCACTGCAGCGCCCCTCAGGCACGTGCCAGTGCGTGGAGGCGCGTGCCACGTGCTGCAGCGCCCCCTAGGCGTGTGCCACCGCGTGCAGAGTCCTCCGGACGCGTTCCAAGCGCTATTTTGCTTCTCCAGGCGCGTAGTAGCTCCCTACAGGTGTTAACAAGCCATTGGTGGATGCCTGTATAACAATAATAGTATTTAAATGTTAAAAGTTGATTGCATTTGCCATTTTATTTGCTTTTGCCTGTTATTTAATTATTTATGTGATGCATGGAATAATTAATTGTTGATTATTATTATTCATGTATTAGACCTATGATTTTTATCTAAATGACTTGATTTATATTAATTAAATTATGAAAATTAATTGGATTTGATTACTAATTAATTAGAAGGCACTTTTTGGGAAATGAAAAATTATTTTTGTAAATTATTTTTAAAGTGTGCCTCAAATTAAATAATTAGTGAATCATTTAAAAGTCCAATATTTTCTAAATTTAATTGGATTAAAATCAAGGCATTTTGCATGCATTATACTACCTCCGTCCCAAAAATAGTGTCATGTTTCGGGAACCGTGTTAGTTCAATTTGCGAGAGTCATGGTTCCCTAAAAGTGACACTTTTTATGGGACGGAGGGAGTATCATGGAATGAAAAACCATAATTATGAATGCTTAAAAATTGAGTGGGAGCGGGGATTTTTATACATTACCCATGGCCTTCGTTATTATAACCATTATAATTAGATTTTTAAAAATAAAGCCCCACGCATGATTTGAAGAGTCTTAATATTACAATAATGGTTGTCTTATGAAAATAAAAATATTAAATGTTCATTTCAATTAGATCTTTAAAAATAAGGCCCCACACATGATTTAAAGAGTTCAAATTATAATGACAAGATATTTAATGTTTTATTTTTCGTTGAAGCATTAATAACGTTATATACTCAATCTAAAATCAATGTTGTTAGTTCCCCAACGGAGTGGTCTACACTAGGTGATTTTCGAAAGGCTAAACATAATCGGGAATCATTTCGTATATATATAGCTAAGACATTGTCTTAAGAGATATGGAAATGATGGGATTTTCCCGCCAATAGTAATAATGAACTTCGCCAACCGAATAAGTTATTGGCGTATTGGTTATCCGATTTTTCATGTAGTGGTCAAGGGATCCACATATTATTTTAATGGAAATGCTCGCCTAATAATAAATGATCTCAACAACAGTAATAATGAACTCCTCCATTAGGATAAGTTATTGACGTATTAATTGTGTGATTTATTATGCTACGAAGTTGAGGGACCCGCATTAATTAAAAAATGATTGTTCACCAATAGTGATAATGAACTCCTCTATTGAGACTTATTATACTATGTGGTTAACAAACTCATTTTAATTTTAAATATGCATGATAGTATTAATAATTCACCTTATTTATTGCATGAATGCATTTATATTCAAATTAATTATGTCTAATCCATTTAATCTGCTTGCTAACATATTCAATATTTTTTGACCTCATTTCTATTGACTAAAAAAGGAATTTAGATATTTTATTTACAACGTAAGGGTACAAAATGTATTTACTACTCCTATACTTAATCCTTTTACTTTAAATACTCAATTTGACATTAATGCTTTTAATAAGTGAAATAAGGCAAATGATATGACTTGGTCCAATATTCTAGAGTTTATTTCGAATACGTTACAAAGCTAACATTTGCATTATTTTATTTTCTTCAAGCATCATATTAAATGTCCATGAGATGTTTTGGTGAAATTAGATAGAGTGTATACCTTAGTGCTGTGTCAGACTTGAATACCATTGAGATAGCCTAAGGAACTCTAGTAAAAGATCGTATTTTGAAAATGATTATTTATTATTTAAAAATTAACTGGAGGTCAATAAGGCTGACTTAGGTGGTAAGTTTCAAATTGACATGATTATTGCCTTGTTACCAAACTTGTTTGACTTTTTAGAGTGAATTAAATAAGGAACCAGTTTGAGTTCACACTCGCTAATATTCTTATAGAGTTAGTAACATTTGAAGGGATAATCAAAAGTATAGGCGTTCCTATCAATCTAACCTAGTCTATACCATCTTCTTCTAGGCTCAAGTGGATGGGTAAAGGAAAAGAAGAAGGATGACAATAGATTTAGGCTAGCACAAAGTATGGGGATCCAAAAGATTAAAGAAAATAAGGTAGTGTATATTGAGGGCAAACGAAATTGTTTCTTTTGTTGCCAACTTAGACACTTAAGGAACGAACTGTCTAAGCAACTACGTGGCATAAAAATATATATATTTAATCATTGAGACATGTTATGTGGTTGCATCTATTAATTCATGATGGATAGATTCTGAAGCCACTAAACATATTTGCAATTCGTTGCAAGAATTTCATGAATCCAGAAGTCTTGATGATATGGACATATATTTATCTTTTGACCTGATGCCAAGGTTGTAGCTAAGTCAGTGGGAGTATTACATCTGAAATTAGAGAGTATGGGGATATTAGTATTAAATAACTATCTTTTTGCACAAATGTTAAACGCAATCTTATTCTTGTTTCACTTTTGGTTTATAAAAATTGTACTGTTACTTTTGGTAAAACTGCTTTTATAAAATTGAATAGATATGTGATTGCTTCTGGTGCATTGAAGATGGTTAATATACTATAACCATAAGCTCTTAATATTTGTAAGATGTAAAAACTAATGTTGCATTTTTTGGATTGAATGTTAAGAGAAAAATTTATTATTCCTGACTTATTGTATTTTTTGTGTCTATTATTGGGTTATAATCAGTCAAAATGAGATTTAAAGATTGGTCAAAGAAGGTTTATTACCTAGTGAGGCAGGGGAGACTAAACCAAACTTGTAAATCATGTATTGAAGGACAAATAATCCTAAGGGCTTTAATCAGCCAAATGAAATAGACATAAAGAACAATTGAAGTAGGTACACACTGACATGTGTGGTCTTATGAACATCCAAGCAAGACTACTCATGTTTTTTTTTTTTTCACAAGACGTATATACTTTAACCTATTTTAATCATATATCATACAGAATAGTATGTAAAGGTAATTTAATAAATTTATAGTATATTTGGGTTGGGGTGGGGTGGGGAATTTTGCCATACCTAATTAGAAGGAAATGCAAGTGCTCGAATAGTTAGATTGCTCCGCGTATTCGCTAGTCCATACTTGAGCCTCGCATCCTCTGCACCACACTAACGGCTAACATTCTTGCTATGAAAAAAATAAAAAGAAAAAAAAAATGCTTGATTCTAGCATTATGAAAAAAATAAAAAGAAAAAATGGAATGAATTGATGAACCTAACAGGCTGGATGAATGATGGGAAGCGGTTAGACGCATTCAAGTCAATCCGGCAGCCTTATAGGTGCATTGAAGTCATTTGATGAGGTTTACCAAGTACAAGGCACAACATATAATAAGTAGATGAAAGGAAAAGAAATTATATTGTGATGATATTAAATATGGGCTGAAAATTGGAAAATAAATTAATACTCCGTTATTTCAAACTTACTTTGAAGGGGCTGTTCAATCTAATAAGCTAAATGGACTAGGGTAATTCAACAATTACTATTTTCATGAACCAGCTTGCACTTGGAGCAAAAAGTGTTACAAAAACTGGGAAAGGGTGTTCTGTAGTAAAAAAGTCCTCAAACTCGCTATACCTATTACCAAACGCGGAATTGATTAACGAACCATGATAATATGTTCCATTTAAATTAAACCAAATTTGGGCTTGTATTAGATCATTTATGTAACCTAGTTGCAAACTTGCTGATTATCTTTTGAGCGCATGCTCTTTTTAGTTTAACCTATCAACAATGACCAATGTATCATTCATATTCTGGAAAATTAAGTTCACTCATTTCACACTTTCACAGCATACACACATTTTTAAATTACTTAAACTTCTGACTCTATCTGGGGTAAAGTTCAGTAATGGATGCTTCATTCACAGACCACTCCCTTGACTTGCTTGTAGGTTGCATGCTCAAGTACTCTGCTCTGCTGTGTGCAAAGAATGCAGGCTTTTGAGGCAATGGTAGACTAACAGAAAGGCTGCTGAGCATGAGACTTACAGATGCCATAGACGGCCTCACTTCCATATCTTCTTGAACACACATCAAGCCTATATGGATGCATCGGACAACTTCATTTCTTGAATAAGAGCTCTTCAATGTTGAATCCATCAATTCCAATGGCGTCCCGTTCCTCCATTGTTTCCAAGCCTGCAATTATATGTGAAATGGTGTTTACAGTGTCGTTACTATCATTGTTTTTATTCTTCAACATGGACACGATGGTAGAAATCAATTGCAATGACAAAGGAAAAAGACAATTGCAATGCTCTTTTTGCACTCACATAACTCAGGAGGCCATCCTCATGACCTGATTGAAAGAAATCACTGTTCTTCTTGCCACTTATAGTCTCTAGAACTAAAACGCCAAAACTGAATACATCGGACTTCACAGAAAATTGTCCATGCATTACATATTCTGGAGACATGTAACCACTACAAGCAAGCACCGTCACTTAGTTCTAGAGTAAACAAACCAGCACAAATTAAAAGATAACAAAAGATACTTCTTGAATTACAGAGAGCTAAAGATTCTGGTACCTGTTATTTTATATTAGTACCAGTCATTTTGAATGTGAACCTTTCTCCACATATAGTTGTAAATAGTAATGCACCTTTTAGAAAGAAAAGAATAGGGTAATCAAGAACTTACAATGTCCCAACTATTCTACTTGTGTTTCCTTTAGATTGATCCACACCAAAAATCTTTGCCATGCCAAAATCTGAAATTTTAGGGTTCATATCGCCATCTAACAAAATATTGCTAGCCTTGAGATCACGATGAATTATTCTTAGCCGGGAATCTTCATGAAGATAAAGCATCCCTCTGGCTATACCTCCTATAATATTGTAGCGTCTTGACCAGTCCAATTGTCCTTGTTTTTCAGGATCTACATAATAATAGATACTCAACTTAGATTTGAAGAATCAAATTTAGAATGATTCAATTAAAAGAAAAGGAGGGGGAGGAGGTGTTAATTCCTAAAGGAACAATATTCTATAACTCCCTATATCTTCAATTCTTCTTGGAAGGTTTTAGGTTTGTGTCCTAGAGAATTTATGCAATACACACACAGGATTTGTGCTATGCTGAGGCCATAAGTTAACTTAATATTGTGAAGTCAGTAAATTTTTTCACTCAACCCTGGAAATCACACACCTGTTATTGTATTCAAAAGATAAAGACATAATTCAAAACATATGTTCAAACGGTCTAACCAAACAGAAAGTAGTCGAGGCTTTTGTTGCGAACATATTCGTAGATGAGTATCTTTTCCTCTCTAGCAAGGCAAAATCCCATTAGTCTCGCCAGATTTCTGTGCTGAAGCTTGGCTACAACAATGACCTCATTCTTAAATTCTGTAGCGCCTTGTCCAGAGCTCTTTGATAGTCTCTTCACAGCTACTTCTTTTCCATTAGGGAGAGTACCCTGTAAATATGCTTATGACTCAAAATTCAAGATACCCTTAGCATTTAAACGTTAAGAATATTTGATTTCTTTAAACTGACCATATTTGGAAAACATGAATTCTACTAACTTCTTACCTTGTAGACCTGACCAAACCCGCCTTGACCTATCTTGTTATCAATGGAGAAGTTGTTTGTTGCAGCTTCAATCGTACCCAAATCAAATTGTAAGGAATTTACTGTCGTAATTTCATTCCCAACTACACAACCAAAGAATGGAAGTGCTGAATTTCGTAATTACATCTCAACAGAAGCACAAATGTAAGGGTACTATTATTTGATTCAGGAAGTAAACTAGTTAGGGTACTTACCATTTTCTTCTTCTATAGTATAATACCGTTTCCTTGCTCTTCTAACTAGGAAGCAGCAGCCTACGGAGAGAAGTACCACTGACACAACTGACACAACAATGGCAATAATTGTTTGTGACGAAATCTTCCCTTTCCCTGCATCAACAAATAAATGCTCTCATCGATATACTAGAAAAACAACATATTTCTCAAAACACCAAGCCAAAATTCATTCAGTGACCAGATGAGCACTTCCCCGCGGGCTCAAATCCTCTGCTGTAGATTTTCATGCTGTCCCCTGCTATAAGTTTTTATGTGGTTTTTGTTTGGCCACGTCATTTACCACTATTCGACAATTGAGACCGTGTTTGGCAATTTCACCACCATTTATAAATAACATTTCACCACCATGTATAAGTAACATCACATGATCTAAAAAGTAACATCACATGAGTTTAAAAGTAACATTATCATTTATGTGCATACCTTAATTTAAGAATGAAGATACTTATAAATGATGGTGAAACATTTCACCACCATTTATAAGTAACATCACATGATCTAAAATGTAACATCACATGAGTCTAAAAGTAACATCACCATTTATGTGCATACCTTAATTTAATGGTAAAGATACTTATAAATGGTGGTGAAATGTTACTTATAAATGGTGGTGAATTCAGTTACGCTTGTATGTGACATTACTTAGGAAATGGTGGTGATGTTACTTTTTTAGACTATGTGATATTACTTTTAGACTTCTGTGATGTTACTTATAAATGGTGGTGAAATATTAGTGGTGCAATTGCTAAACACAGTGTTAGTGTCCATTAAGTGGAGTAAAACGTGGCCAAACCAAGGCCACTTATTGCTCAATGTAGGAAACTGCATGGGAAGTGCACTGTAGAGGATTTGCGCCCCAGTTCCCGCATAGTTTGTTGAATTCTACTGAAATCGTACAGTCGCAGAATTAAAAGATTTTGGACATGTCTAAAAAAATAAAATAAAAAAATCCAGTTGTTTTAATTGGATTGAACAACCAGTTCGAATCTCATCTTTATTTACATCCTTAGAAGTTAATTACAGTCCAAAAAAATTGATCCTAATTAACTGGCTTAAACTATCAAAATCAGCTTAGTTTGTATATACATTAATATACAAAATGAACTCGCGATTAGATGGTCTACAAACAAACACTAATTAATTGGAGATTGTTCAATTTTAAATGTTACCTTTAGGACTTGTTAAAGGAGTTGGAGCAGGTGGAGGAGGAGAAATTGGTGTAGGCAGTGGAGCGGGGGCTATGGAACTGTTGTAAAACGGTTTCACCTCGAACCTTATATTACAACTGGGAAGAAAAACCCTCCCCCCTTGCTTTCCAACACAACATCTTTGAAAATAAGTTATAGCATGTCGAAGGCATCCATTACAATCACTTCCGGATATATCTGGTGTGCACTGCGCTAGGCTATATATCTTCCAATAAGCTGAGAAGTCAACTTTTTGAGTTGCAAACCTCGTAACAATTCCAGACTCGTCATTTGAAGCACGAGTCGCCAAATCATCCACAGTTTCTCCCACCAATTGATCAAAGCGATCTTGTTCTGTGATATTATTTACAGTCCCCCACAAGTCCGTATAAAAGTACGCATCGGGCGCTTGCTCCATGGTGGAGAAAAAAGACTTGTTGGCATAACGTAACATGCACTCATGGTACCAAATAATTGCCTTTTTCTGGTTGGGGCAATATTGCTGGATTTCTTTCACTGCATGAGCCACACAATCTTGACAGCCCTTAGCACCGGCGATATCGCCACGACAGAGAAAGACGCCATAAGCCACATCGGGGGCATCAAGACCAGCTGTTGTGTTATAAAATCCGGTTATGCTGTTAGCATTGGAAGAAAGAGAAGAGAGTAGGAGAATGAGATTAGATTGAAAAGTGCTATTAGGAGTGTATGTAGTTTCATTAATACATCTATGGGCGTTGTAGTATGGGACAGCTTCAGTAATACTATTGGGAATAAACAACCAAAGAATGGAAACAATCACAAAGGAGTGAGAGAAACTGTATGTGTAAGAAAACATCATAATTAAGCACAATGACAAAAAGAAATATGAAGTTGTAATTAAAGAGGAAACCATATTGCCGTGCTTTTATAGCTACAGGCCCTATTAAAATTAGATGCAGGTGAGAAAGCAGAGAGATTGATAGGGACATGAGTGAATGAGAACCACGGATTCTGTGATTAGGTAATTGTTGAAATCTAAAAGTCGAAGATGGAGAAAAAAAGCATATTACGGTCTCTTTACGTTGTTCTCTTTGAACGGAAAAGTTTTTCCAGACTGATGCAGGGGTTTATATGACATCCACATATAGGCTGAGGATATACTTTTCTGATTAGTTTCTTGGTCTTCGACTGTGTGAATGTAAGTAGCTGTATTTGAGCAACAATACGAAAAAACTCAATTTCCATGGTAGTCATTTTATAAGGAAGACTAATAACATTAATGGGAACAGGACTGAAAAGGTGTTGATAACTTCGAAAGTTCCTTTCATAGAGAAAAAGTCTTACTTGCTTGACCAATTAGGTATTCAAAACGAAGCCCCAAAACACGCATACATGGCGCCTAGTCTATTTGTATTTTCTGGCCTTCCAAAATAAAAGGTCATTGTTCAAGTTATCATGTGCAAGTGGGTGCTTATGTGTGATTCTTGGTAGAACAAAAAACACACAAAAATGTCAAACTTCAGGGAATCAACTGTATTTTACCTTATTAGACATGAATGGAGGGATAATTACACTGACCTCCCCAATAGATATGCCAAATTACAAAAGCCTCTCTTAAATTTTGAAAAATTTCACTCGCCTCCCCATCTGGTTAACACCTTTGTAACAAAATGACCCGTTCGTAAAGGATATCTATCACTTATCAAATAGGTATTGGGTACCTTGGACGCACCATGCATCCAGCTCATTTGAGTAATATGTGTTATGCACATGTAAGTGCATGTTATGAATACGAGGGTGGCTAACCACAGTTGTCCAATAACTTTAAAAAGTAAAGATATTTTTTGGTAATTTTAATTTTTGATAATTTTTTATGGGTCCTGTCAAAAGAAAAAATTTATTCTATAAAAATAACCTTTATTTTTTATTTTTATTTTTGGTCTTATCAAAAGACATAATTTATTCAACAGAGACACACACACACACACACATATATATATATATATCATCTTTCTTTTATACTTATTATTATTATTATTTTGTTGGGATATTGACAACAGGGATAATTTATTTAATAAAATATATTTTTTTGAAGTTTTTTTTTCATCATGTCAAAAGGAATAATTTTTTAAATGGTTACTTTTTATTTTTTATCCTGCCAAAAGTCACAATTTATTCAACATAACAAATTTTTTTTTTTTAGTCCCTTAAAAAATAATTATTCAACTTTTATTTTATTTTATTTGTATTGTCAAAATATACTTAAAATATTAAAGATTAGAAATAAGGAGAGAAAATATGAAAGGACATTTGTGTCATTTAAAAAGTAATAATTATTTACTTGTAAAGATAAAATTAAAATTGTTATAAAATTATAGTGAGTGCGAATATATAGTCTCCCATTTTATATTCTCATAATCATAAAATATCGGAACCCATACGGCCATACTTGTGGAAAAAGTTTGCCTTACAACAATGCTTTTAAAAGTGGTAGAAGTTGATCATAAAGCAATCATTTGGCCTTTCGGTTTCGACATCTGAATCTACCTTTCCGGTAATTCAGAGTTTCACACTGCATTTGGATCAAGTAATTAACTAGTCAAAATGGCCCGACTAGGAAACAAAAGAGGACTTTCCTATAAATCACTAATATGAGAAGGAAGATTTGACTGGATCATAAGACGGCCAAAAAAAAAAAAAGAGAGAATATGAGAATTTTCTTGCAGGTCTGGCAATCAAGCAAGTTAATAGGTCTTATTTCTGGAGAATTTTCTTGCAGGTCTGGCAATCAAGCAAGTTAATAGGTCTTATTTCCGAAGAATTTTCTTGCAGGTCTGGCAATCAAGCAAGTTAATAGGTCTTATTTCTGAAGAATTTTCTTGCAGGTCTGGCAATCAAGCGAGTTGATAGGTCAAAGGTGGAAAATTATCCCAAAATATTCTCTCTTTTTTGGCCGTCTTATGATCCAGTCAAATCTTTCTTCTATATATATATATTTCTGGATATTTGATTGAGTCAAAATGGGGGCAAACTAACAATAACAATAACATAACCAAAAATTTTGAACTAAAACGAAAATTACAAAAATTAGAGTATTAGTTGGCTATTTAATACATTATATATTATATTTCTAAAAAAAAAAAAGTTTTGAAAGCGCAGAATAAGGATTTTTTTTTTTTTTTTTTTTTTTTTTTTTTTTTTTTTTTAAGGTTAGTGAAAGAGGAAAGTGGTTTAAGTTTTAAAAAAACACACATGTATTATATAGTGCGTACACATCCCTGTAACAATAGGAAAGAGGAAAGAGGAAAGAGGTTAGAGTCCAAAAAGAAACAGCCATGTACCATATAAATCCCTGTAACAACAAAATGTGTATATAATTAATAGAGTAATGCTAGTTCTCCCTACTTAAAAAAAAATGATTTTGATGTGTATGTTATTTTATATGGACTATTTTAAAATCTAAATATATCAATACAGCTGTTTACAAAAGTTGAAATATTCTTTTTTTCTTTATACCCAAATAAAGCAATAATGCCCATCCTTTTGTGTATGCCGTGAAACTGCAATCATCATCGGAGACGTGGTAGAAATCATGAATATTTATCGTCGGCGTGATCTGTAATACCCCTAATTTTAAAAGGATAATCTCGGAATTTAATTTATTATTTTATTACATTTTTAATTGATTAAAAGATTTATTTGATTACGTGGCTGTTTGTTTATGTGTTTTAATGAAAATATTTGTTTAAATTAATTTATGTGCTTAAATGTTATTTTAATTAATTAATGGTATAAATTGATTTGTTTAAATGTTAAGTGATGATGTGTATTTATTTGTTTACATACTATGTGTTTATTTGTATTTAAATTGTTTGTTTTATTTGTATTTTATTTTAAAAGGAGTTAGATATGAATAATAGTAATGGAGCAACCATTTGGATCCCATGAACTACTTAAATAGGAGGTTTAATGGGTATGGATATTTACCCATATATAGTTGTATTTATATACTTATATATATATATATATATATATATATGGATAGTTTTAATAATTACTATTGTTATTATTATTTTTATGTAAAGTTAGAATTATATGTATTATTATTATTATTTTTGTGGAAAGTTAGAATTATATGTATTATAATTAAATGTATTATATACATATGTGTAACAGATTTGCTATATTTATATTTATATTTTCTATTTTTCTTTTCCTTTATTTTAATTAAGGAAAGTTGGATTGGGAATAAGATTTTATATTTTTCTATTTTCCTTTTCCTTTATTTTAATTAAGGAAAGTTGGATTGGAAATATGATTTTATATTTTATAAGTTGGAATGGTAATATGATTTTATAGTTATCTATATATATATATATATATATATATATATATATATATATATATATAAGTATTAGGAGCATGTAAAAAGGATACAAAACTTTATTCACGTACAACATATTGAGTTTTAGAGTGAGAAGGAAGAAGGTTTTGGCAAAGAAGATAACTAAAACAAGGAAGAATGATGCTTAGGTTTTAAAGCAAGTTGTTTTCTAACTCTTCTCCTTTGATTCATGTCTATACATGTCTAGATTAATTCCAGGTTTTTAAAATTTAATTAATAAACATAATTACATGTACAAATCAGATTTATAAAGTATGATTATATGTTAATGGGTTTGTGTAATTTTTGCATGATTTAATGAATTGATGCATGAATTGTGTTCTACAATGTTGAGATCATGTTTATATTAAAGAGAATAAAGTTGTATTGAAAGGGTAAAAAACACGCTTGTATTATCACTGCTTTGTGAATATATACAGAGTTACAATGAGACTATCTATAGAAAGTTTACAATAAATTTGAATTTGAAAAATATACTAAATTATAGGAGTGATAAAAGGCTTAATCAATTCTACACAAATGTTTCACGTGACCCTAAGATCATGGAGGAAATAAGGAATGTGTTGGAATGATTTTTGCTTGATTGAAGGAAGACCCATTATCATCTATACGCTCCCGCAAGATGGTGCTTCCATTAGAAATACCAATCTTGGATAGTAAGAGTGAAAATCGTTGCCTTGAAAGAGGCTTTGTAAGAGCATCAACAAGTTGTTCAGTTGTGGAAAAATGAGAAACTTAAAGCAATCCTTTTGAGACTTTGTCACGTACAAAATGATAGTCAACAATATGTTTCATGCGTGAGTGAAAAACTAGATTAGCACAAATATATGTTGCACTAACATTATCACAGAAGATAACAGGAGGTTTTGTGAGTGAGATTCCAAGCTCACTAAGAAGAGACTGAACCCAATATAATTCTGCTGTAGTGGTAGCAACAACCCAATATTCAGCTTCAGTAGAAGATCAAGCAACTGATCTTTGCTTCCTTGAACTCCATGAAATTAGATTACCACCAAGGTAAACAATGTAGGCAGTTGTGGAGGTACGGTCATCACGATTTCCAGCCCAGTCAGCATCAGAATAAGCATGCAAAAAAGGAGTAACATGACGTTTGAGAAAAAGACCATGATGAATAGTTCCTTTGAGGTAACGAAGAAGCCTTTTAGCAGCAGTGCAATGTATCTGAGAGGGCTTATGTATGAATTATAAAAGTTTGTTGACAGCATAGGCGATGTCTGGTTTTGTAATGGATAGATTCTATAGAGCACCAATGACACTACGAAATTCAGTTAGATTAGCAGGTGAAGATCCATCCTAAAGTACAAGAGAGCCCGTAGTAGATAAAGGTGTGCTGACCTCTTTTACACCAAACATGTGATTGCGGTCCAAGAGGTCTCGAATGTATTTATGTTGGGTGAGAAATAAACCAGTGGAAATAGGAATGACCTCAACCCCAAGAAAGTAGTGTAAAGCCCCCAAATCTTTGACAGAAAATCGGGTAGAAAGAGCATGAATAAATTGAGTAATAAATGAGACATTATTGCTCGTCATAATGAGATCATCTACAATAACTAGAAAATAAACAAGAATATG